GTAGCACAAGATAATTAGTGTGCGGACCATTTCATTTATATAGTGCTCTGTGAACACAAATTAGCATAAATCAGTTAAATGACGAAAAATTAGGTGTTTATTTACTTGTGACCACTCAGTGTATATGTATATTATTAGTATTTGCTTTCTCGCAAACAAGAGTGTTGTTTTTCATATTCAGTATTTTCTGCCATGAACAATTTTTCTTTAAGTATATGTTTTCCTTTTCAAAAAATTTAGCTTTCTAACTTACGAGCACGAAGGAATTAAGTTTTTGGTAATCAGGTGGTACTAACAAAGTGTGGAACTAATGTTAACACAGCCTCATTTAGAAATACTAGCTGTTGTTGTTTTAATTCAGTGTTTTTGCTCAACCTTCATACCTTCTTTCCATCTCTAGAATTTTATGAATTTTTATTTTTGGTTAAAAATGAAATATATATATATATATATATATTCATCTGTTTGCTTGAATGGAAATTAATAAACACAATATTTTTTCTGACATTTTTTATTCAATTTGACTTACTTTTTTGAGCCAGGGGTTATAGATATAACGTCTAACAAGAGAACAAAACCAAATATGCAACATTGAAAGTTGACACAGCCCGTCAGAGAAATCATCGACTGCTACTTCGCTTTAACATGTGTTTACGAGGGTTTGAGAATAAAAATACAATTAATGTTCAGTCATCTACTTTTGCTACCTTTATATTCTTTTCTTCACTCCTATTAAGTTCACATCATACCACACTTACCTTATCTTAAAGACTTGGGAAGGTCAGGCTCTTCCCCCCTCCTTGTGGATGGTAATGATTTGGGTGAAATGACTGCAGTAACAGGAGAATATTAAAATGATCACTACATAAGGGTCAGAGTAACCTACACTTACTCTGACCCCTTTCAGGGCAATGTCCATATAAATAATTCTTGTAATATTCGGTGTATATATACAATTCTCTTTAGTTCGTTATTACAAAGTCCTGTACAGTTCCAGTGTAATATCCACTTTCATTAGTTTTACAACTCATTGAGAGCATTTTCGGGGCTATGTCCGTATTATGTTGTCAGATTATATATGTGTGTGTGTACTTATGTTTGCTGGGTATTTGTGTTCTGTAATGTTTGTGGTAATAAGAAAAGTTGTGCAATGTATGGTAGTATTGGCAATAATTGTTCTAGAGCTGTTCTAATGGTTAATGTGATACAATCCTCTTGGTTTTGTGGGTTATTGTATTTTGTCAGGAATTCGTAGAATATGTGTGTGACTGCCTCTATTATTTTATTTGCTATTTCATTTTGTTGTGTTTTGCGTTCTTCTTTTGTTTTGTGGCATCTTCAATTTGGGTGTTGGTTTTTACTGCCTGTGTGAATATTTGTATAGTAGATTGTTGGTTTCTGTTGGTGCTTTCTTGTGGTTTTAGTGTTGATAGTGGTGGTGTTTTTCTTTGTTTACTGTTTGCTTCATTATTTTGTGTTTGTTTTGTAACGAATTTATTGTTATGTATTTATTTTAATATGAACGTTGTTTAGATTAAGTTTATATTTAGAAACATACATAGCTTATACTGTTAGATAGGTATTGCGAAACTCCCGCCTATTTTCCAAAGTTGTAGAAGATTCTCGAGAGTAAGAATCAACAATATATGTATGTACGTAAACGTTTAAAATGTAACTTGCATTGTTACGTAAGACTGAAATTTCTAGAATGCCTTCACACAGGTATAAATATAACCAACGCAATGTGCCAAAAAGAGATTGTCTATTATTAGTTTGCTATATATCGGTGTGCTACAAAACTTTGAAAGCTATAACTGTGATTGTTATAACGCTTGTCAATTGGGAAACTGAGATATCTGACCAGGAATATTTGTAAATTTCGAACGTTAAAAATCATTTAACTTCAGTGGATTCTCATAGGACATTAGTACTTTTACGAAGACATTTATCTTCATCGTTAAAAACCTAGTGTGTGTGGCTAAGGACAAAGCTAGCTAGCTTCCCAGAGGATCGTCTCTACATCAACTCGTAATTAACTCGCTCATCGTGAATCCTCGATAAGATATCAGGGAGGTTCCAGACCAGAAAGAAAACTTTTTTTTTTCTACCGTAAATAGAATAATGTCTGGTGAAAACACATCTTTGTTATGTAAACAAGTACTGATGAGTTTATTTAGATGCTTACAAAAGATTTGCACTCTTACTTTTTCTGTATTGTTTAGATGTGATATGATCTTGTCCAGTATTTTCTAGTTGTTTTGTTTATTTGTTTGTAATTAAGCTTTGACAAGTTAAAAAAAATTATAAATGTTCCCGAGCAACCGGAACATATCAATCAAATTATTTGTGCGTGTAGAGTTTCAATATGCCAGCAGATAAAAGCCGTAGATTTATTCACGTTATATTTAACACATTAACGAGTAGCACGTCAGCTCCTCGTTAGAAAACCTAAATTTATGTCTATATGAAGACCGTCTGCAACCGAAACACGCTTGAACTTTTCCCTTAAGCCGTACTTTTGAGTTGCCTTCTTATCTACTATCATTGTTACCTCCCCGACACCTGTTATTTTACCTGATACTTGATGAAGAAATATTAAATGAAAGTCGTATTCGACATAAATATGTTTGTTGGATTTGTAATCGAGACCCTAAGGAAAGGTTTGAGATAATTGGAAGGCAGAAAAAAACACACTTCACCTGTTACTTATTGTGGTCAACAAAACACATAACTACAACTTTAATGAGACATCACACTTCCGTCAAAAAATGATACTCGTCACCAGAAAGTACTGAGTACATACACTAGTGAAATTGCCCTGGCCACCTGAACCTTCGCCCCCACAACAACACTAGAGATTGAGGTTTCGAAAACTTCGATTGGCGACAACATCCGAAACATGCTTGACAGGTCCCACCCTTAAATACGCTGAAGCAGCTGGAGCGTATGACGACATTATGACGTTCCATCTTCGGTAGACTTCGGATACTTCTAGGACCATATATGGGCAATGTGTGGCGCGAAGTGGAGTGAGTAAATTATTGAAGCTGTGACTTATGCAAGATTATTTGATATTCAAATTTTAGAGCAACGATTTTAACTTCACCAGTTGCAAAAAAATATTCTTACAAACCAATATTTTTCACTCAAGCAATATACTAGTTGTGCAGAAGTGTAAAGACGGCGCGTATGTATATCTGTAATGAGTAAACAAAATAAACAAAAGCCAATTATCTCACTAGTCACAACGTCATTTTGACGTATGTTAATGTAGGCAAATTATGTTTCTATTGGCTAACAGGGGAGTTCCGGTTGCCAAATATGGAAGAGACCACACAGTGGCCTTCATTTATTACCCATACTTCATTCAGCTGACATATAACAAAATATATCTAGAAATAATGACAGAATAAAAGTTGAGCTTTCCATATGATAAGAGCTAGATTGATGAACTCTTGTCTTGTGTTTTTACTCATTGTTAATGTCAAGGAGGAGATAACCTACTTAGAGGAGGATGAGAATAAACCACCGTGTTTCGAGGCGATGTGACGCTGTCTGTTAGTTGTGTCGAAGGTTTCCACGAGAAACCCTTCTAATTCGTTAGCATGGTTATGGACGCCATTGATACTCTTTATCGTACAGTCCTTAATGATAACGGTTTTAATCAAAACTTTGATAAATCCTACTTTTTACCCTTCCTCAACACGTATCAGTTGGACAGTGTGGAGACAGAAGCGGGTACGGACTCCCCACAAATACTTTCCAATGAGGTAATGCCGGATACCATCGACGGTACTCCTAATACTCCAATGTATACGAGCAACCATTCGAACTATTTAATTTCCGAAAAGCAAGCTCTCCACTGTCTTTCGACTTCAGGTAAGACTATAGTTGAAATACCAGATGTCCTTTTTTATTAGGCCTTATGCGTGTACTCGTAGTGTTCATCATACAGTGCAAGTCAATGAGTTATTGTTCATAATTCACTGTTTTCAAGGCTAATATTGCATTAAAAATTAAAATATAAAAAATCGTAAATTTATATAAAACCATGGGCAATATTTGCGACTTTGTTTATGGAACAGGTGTTTAGCGTATCATTATCAATTACCATTCATCAATGTAAACGAAAGTGAGGGAAGGGACTTAGTTACAAAAAGTAGAGCTAACCAACGTTGTTTTATACCAATAACTCGCAAGTTAACCTTAATTCAAAGATGCAGAAATATATATGACTAAGCTTCATCGCAAGGCTACACACCAATATTATAAAAGAGGTGACGTTAATAAATGATGAAGCTCACACTCACCAAAGAGTAATGCGCACAATAAATGCGAACTCTTCATCGATAAAAACCCTTTCTTTGAATTCATATAAGATATTCTTAATCTCATATTAATTATAAAACATTTTAAAAACTTCATGAGTTATTCGAAATCTTAAATATTACTTTTAAAAAGCGTATACTATCCTGTACCTCTAGTGTTAAAAACTAGAAGCGGCAGTGATAATAATTATTTTTTGATGAATGACACTGTTAGCCTGAAAGTGAAGAGGAGTTTAAGTTAACATAATTTTAAATTATATCGAATTTGTATTCTCCCTTCATGTCAGAGCTAAAGAATAAAGTGCCCATAGTACTTACGATGCTGTTATTGTAACAAACAAGTGTAATGGGCAGATTAATCTTAGCATGAAAGAAAGTATATTTCATTTTTATGACATGCAACAAGAACTGACTATTGGATATTTGAACTGTGTAAATCCCAATAGTTGAAAATCAACGTAATGTACAGTGGACTTTAGTTCGTTAATAGCATAAATTATATAAAAAAAACTAGTTCAATCCTCACATTATTTCTCTTAGAAAAAACTATTTCAATAGTGTGCTTTAATGCTAGGTATCTATTGTTGTGGAGAGCACACAAAACTAACAAGAGTCAGTCCCTTTTGAAAATCATTACACTTCATCAGTTTCTTATTGCTACATATGAATTCCATACATTCATGCTATAATAAGCAAGAGAAGTGAATATAAACACAAACTGAACGCCTAAAATAGCGTTTTTACCTTTTATTTTTCTGGGAAAATGTTCTCTGTTATATTTACACTAAAACAACTAAACGAACTAGAAGTATACATTTTATGTTTGTTCGTTTAACTTGGCAAATCTCGGCATACATTTATATTTATCACTGACAGAAAAAGACTCAAAACGAGAGAACATTAAATAGAACAAAATATAATAACTATGCAGTTTATCACAAACAATAGTTTTATTTCACATCGGTGTATATATATATATACACTCCCTTATTATATGAAACGTATTTTATATCAGTGTAGACAATACTGTTCTACTGATTAATAATTCAGTGTGTTCATGACGTGTTTAATATAATTGTTATAATTGTTCTGCTGGTTTATAATTCATTATGTTTGTGTGTGTGTGTGTTTATAACGTATTTCATATCGGTGTAACCACTGCTGTTTTACTGGTTCGTAATTAACTGTGTTCGTGCGTTTATATAGCGTATTTTATATTAGCGTTGCCACTGCTTTTCTACTGGTTTATAATTCAGTTTGTTTGTGTGTTTATAGGAAATTTTATATCGATGTGGCCAGTGCTGTTCTACTGGTTTATAATTTAGTATGCTTATACCGTATTTTATATCTGTGGGACCAGTTCTTTTCTACTGTTTCATAATTCAGTATGTTAGTGTGTGTTTATAACATTTTATATCAGTTTGGTCAGTGTTTGTCTACTGGTTTAGAACTCAGCATGTTAGTTTGTGTTTATAACGTCTTTCATATAAGTTTGACCAGTGTTGTTCTATTGGTTTATAATTCATTATGTTTCTGTGTGTTTATAGCGTATTTTATATCCATGTGACCAGTGCTGTTGTACTGGTTTATAATTCAATGAGTCATTAATTTCATATTTATGAAATCTGAGTTTGTGACTATCGATTATTTGAGGAAAAAAGAAATAATAAGTTGTATTAAAAATCAACGAAACACAAAATATCTGGTCTTAATACCTCCCTTGAAGCAACAAAGTACAGAAAACTCCAAGCAATACAATAGAGTGGCAACTTAGTAAAGTTTTTGCTTGAACCAGTAATAGTCGGAATTGCATTAAACTTAATATTAGGACATAAATACTGAAACAAATAATTCGTGATACTAAGTATACCCGTGCTGTGTGTATTGATCACGTATCGAAAAATAGGAGTTTTACAATGTAAATATTAATTGTTTAAGCGGATATATATCCGACAAAACAATTAACTACTAAATAGTCAATAACCAGTAGTAGCTACTAATTAGTTTATGTTTTATGTGAGAAACTCGACATTTCTATTTATTTCGTTATCCCATGTATAGAGTGTAGGTAAATTAGCAAATCTCACATTTACTGGCAGCAAGTGTTGGTCGTGCCTATAGCTGCTTTTGAAAGCTCTGACGTTTGTAAGCTTAAAGTATACATAGATTAATGGTAGTGCAAAAAAATATACGTTACACGCTAACGATTTATAACCACATGTAGTTAGTTATCCCAAACGTTTCAACGAGCACACAATATTAATGTTTCAGGGTCTAATTCGAAAGTTGTTTGTGGGTAAGAATAATAATAAACAGAGAAAGCATTCAAATGATGGCAAAAGACCGTTTCTGAGAAATGGAGGACCACACGTTGTCAAGACATATTGATAATTATCCCATCTGAAGTAGGAATTGGTTAATGGTAACTTTTTGGCTGAAGTAACGCGTTCCTCTCGTAACAGATCCACAGTTAGACGTTGACTTCTCCCGTTTCTGGCACATGTTAATTATACAGCCTGTATGTTGTGTGCACTTTCTCTGCCCGAGAGGAGGGCGACGTTTCCACTTTCTGCTTGTGTTGGGGAAGTTCGCCGGCCGTGTGCCTGCAGAATGCCCTCTCCTCGATCCTGATTTTCTGCTGCCACCATGAGCTACTGGGCTCTGTTATGGAACCATCTTCGCGCGTCGCTACAATTGCTGTATGAAACAAGAAGTAACAACAAAAGTGGAATGTAAATATACTTTACTAACCATTTTGTACAACAGAATATTAAAAACTTAATAAAGGTTTGACGTTAGGTCTTAGAATAG